TGTGTACATTCAGTTCCGAAGATTTTCGCATATCTAAAAAATACAAACCACGTAAAACACGGTTAATTGGGCTTTCGGGAAATACAACAAGGGGGAGTATCTTCGGCTAAACAGTTTTGGAATTGAGAAGAAGACGACTCGACCGCTGGGACAGGACTTTTATTCGCCTGTCGTTCCGTCGCGGATTCGTCATCAGAGATAAAGTCAGAGGGTAGTCGCAGATACAGTTTTGGAATTCTTCACGTCCATCTTCTGTGAAATTTTGTCTGACCTACATGCGATTGTTCCCTTCCTCCAACAAGTCAAAGATATGATCACTGGAACAAGAATTTTATTTTCCTGACGTTCCGAATTCTGTCGAGAATCCTTAATCATAGGTAACCGTAGAGTGCTGTGAGACATGCGCAGATTGGGGTGATTGCGCGATAATTATAGTTCGTAGCAGCTATCCGCATGCGTACTATAATTATGAGCTCCTATAACCACCGCTTGGGGTCGTAATTGGTGCGGTGATGATTAAGGATTCTCGACAAAATCCGAAACTTCAGGAGAATTCTTTTTCCAGTGTTTGCATCTTCGTCTTCTGAACTGTTTCCTGGAACCCGCATATTTGCTTCTGTCGGCAATCCCCCAAAAATTTTGTCCGCTCCTCACCCCCTTTGTTCCTCCCCTTCCTCTAACAATGGTGTCTGCCACTCCCCCCCTCCCCCTGTTCAATCCGCTCCCCAACAATATTGCCGGGCCCCCTTTGCTCAATGCCGCTGCCTCAAGGTCATGCAGCTGTTTACGACTCGCTGCCCTTAAGACCATTGACTGATTTCCACTAGAGCACACAGGCGTGTCCAAAACAGTCGCGGCTGCCCAAGGACCACTTGAACACACCACCCTCGCCCGATACAGCATGGGCCACTGTACACGACACCCCCTTCGGGCAATGCAACGCAACAATCGCAAATCACTTGAACTCGCTCTACAGTCACATAAAAGCAGTTGCCCCCTTCTCGTCCTCAAACACGCCCTCCCAGGCCTGGTTGGACACAGTAAACACGAGTCCAATCTTCGCGCTGCACACGTGTGACGTTACTCCGCACGCAGTCAGACGTTCTATTTGACCGACTCCTTTGTTATGGACTACGTGTATCCACTGTTGAGGTTTGTACATTGTTTATTCTTCACTGCAACGGAATAAAAACAAGAGCATCTGTAATGGGGCGATGTAGCAGTCATTCCAGTGCATCCTCCGCCGGCGCCCCGGTGTCCCCGGCAAGCTTTCTAACCAGCAGGCGCACCTCTCCAGACCTTGGTTGAGCTTAGTCAAGGTCGCGCTTACACCTGAGGCTATTTTAC